CGATAGTTCTTCTCCATGATGTAATTTACACGCTGAAACCTTATCGCCACAAAAATAAGGAAAACCTTGTATAACATAGTTAAGAGTCCAACTAGTTCTGGCTGCTTGGTCCTTTCCCTTTCGAATTGTTACACTTTTTTATAATTGGACTCCAAACCCAAAGGACAAAGCCATTAATAAATTACATTACACTATACAAGATTTATAAGACTCACCCAGGAAATAAAGTGTCTGAACAAAGAAAATCACGTTATCCGTCAGATGACCAGTTCCGTCAAAAATGAAACTTGATTTATACACGAAAGGGACTTAACGTCGCAAGGTCACAAGAGAGTCATAATTTAAAACTCTTGAGGCTATTGTTGCTGTGGTGTATTTTTTTCTTTTCATTTCTTTCTTTCTTTGACATTTGTCTGCTGTTTGTACATTTTTGAAGCCATTAGGATAAAGAGAGCTTTCTTTCTTTCTTAATTTTTTTTCTCATCTTCTTTTTCAGAACAACACTGAGTAATTTCAGTTATCTCTGTCTCTTGACATTCCTGCCGTAGGGCACTAAAACTTCAAAAGTGTTAATAATTGAGCTCCTTTCGTGAAATGAACTGCAAAACCACATGTAATAAAAAGGTCATTCGTCCGAATACGGAAAACTATACTACCGAATGCAAAATGGCACGCTTTCGTTTTAAAAATGGGTAAGACTAATCAAGGGTCATTCAATATTTGCCACAAGTCGAGAATGTCCTTGACTTTTTCTGAGCTTTGTGTTTCGACTTGTTATTCTTTTTCAGTATAGGGTTTTGCACATTGGAAATTGCCAATATTATTTAAATGAAACCAAAACCGAAGACAGTACGGCTATGAGCCGAAGCGAAGTCTGCAAAATCTCCGAAGAATCCAGCAAACATATTTGTCATTTCTCAACTCTGTCGCGGCCCGATTATCTATCGAGCGTCACAGGATTTGTTTATTTGTTTGCGTATCTATTATCTCGATTATCCAATTTTAAGATAGTATCTCCTATAAGTATCTTCGATCCTTTAAACTTGAATTAAGCAAGCTCAGTTTGTTTATCGGAGAAGCAGGACTCCCCTTGAAAATCGCGCGGTATAGCTTTTGAACAATTCGATAGAGAGATAAAAGGAGATTTAAAAAAGACTGAACGACCTGAACGTTTCTTTGCTGCCGGAACTGTATGCCGACAAGCGAAATCACTGGCCTATGATATACCCAGAACGCGAAGACACTTACAAGGCCGAGTAAATTAAGCGTGTTCACGCGATTTCAATGCATGTAATAAACGTTCTTTTGTAAAAGACTATTGTAACCTTAAATTCTTTCCTTTGATTCTCTTAAGTGTGTAAACGATGCACGCAAAGTTAAAGCTTAGCTTTAAGTGTCACATGCATTTTTCTGGTTGATATGACTGCATTAAACACTTACCAATACGATATAAAAAATCCTTCTGTGCTTCAGGACAATTATCAGCTCAGAATTTGAGCGCAGTGTTGACCAAAGGACCTCGCTGATGTGAAGCCAAAGAGTGACTGTCTGCGTAAAGGAATTGAATACCCTACTTATTATACAGCAGGAATTTAACGTCAATCTGTCAGCGTTCGAGTCTGCAGTCTGTTATAATTACAGAATTGTGGATATGTTTATATAATTATATCCTCTGGATTTCCTTTTCATACAGACACCCGCTTGTCCACATTTCCTCGGTATATTGCCTGTAAGCCGATGTAACAAACACCTGTCAATCAAATCGAGCTAAGCCAATCAAGTGTCGAAAAACAAAGCTAAATACGCTTGGGTGCCTGGCCTGAAGCGAACTGAAAAAAACAACTTGTTTACGGTTTTGCTTCGCTTCTCTGCTGAAAGCACGCACTGTTCGCGGTTCAATAGTTGAAAAATGATTATAGTCACCAAAAGATCTGGAGATTGTTGCAAAATTAGAAGCACCAAGTGATGGTGTCTCTCAAAAGCTCTCTTCATACTTTACAGGATTTGGTAGTGGGTAAGAAGATCGAGTTTACTCATGAGAACTGAAACGGTGAATGGTCAACACTGTGAGAGGAAAACAGATTTGCTAGGATAAAATTGACATTTGAACTTACCATGCTGTGAATTTTTAAAAACACGTAACAAACGACACTGCGTTTCCTTAGTTTGATAAATAGCACAGCAGATCAAATATGACAAAGCTAAGAAATCTGTAACCGCAAACAGCTTGAATGTGCTCTTGAGAGAGAAACCCAAGGAGAAACGGATTTAAGAAAAAAGACCATACTCTTAAAGTTAAGATCTTTTAGGAAAGCTTTATCCTCTTTGCGACATTTCATTAGGCTGAAAATAAAGCACTTTTGATTCAGTTTCTTTATATTCCTTACTTTTAACAATTATTTCTCTAGAACGCACCGTTTCCATCACTAGCACTGAAGTACTTGAGATCAGGCCGACGAAAGATGCACACTGAAATGATCATTCTGGTAAAAGCATTCCGGGATCGTAGTCTATCAAATTTACCTGCACATGGCCGGCAAACAATTTGGGACAAATGCCAGAGGTTGAAAATGCATGCCCTTCACTAAAATGAATGAAATATAATTTTAACCCCCTTGCGACTTGCATTGACAAACGTCTTAAACAAATTGGACTTGCTTGAGGGGTAATGAAAATGGCAAATTTGTATATAAAATTTTTTTTTTTTAATCAAATAAGTCCGCACTTATTTATCAACTTAAATGATACTAGCCGTGTGAACTTTACCACAAGCTAATCCCAGCACGAAATCAGTGCTGTTTTTCGCTCTACACTGTTCAGGCGCTGCTGTCCCGTCACTTGTGGTTTTCATTTTTTTACGATCCAAAGGTTGCACCCCGGGAAAAGTGGCGCTGAGTAGCTTGATCTCACAATAGCTAAACCGATATATAGAACACTATTGAATCAGAATCCAGTGGATTAACCAAGTACCTGGAAGCCCAGGATTTCGACTCAATTAAACCTCCATAGTGCAAGAGCTTGTTGACCCTAAGCTGGAGGTGGTGGTCTCGTAAGAATTTAAACTTTGCTTTTGCTCATTGACTGAGTGGCCTGATCAGGAATGAACTAGCTTGCATTACTGGCGTAGTTTTTGGGTGAGCTAAAACTGCCTGTTTGTTCGTGACGGTGTGGCCGCCATATTTGATTTTCTTTCCGAGGAAGACTTAGGAAAGTAGAAATCTTTCGGTTACGCGAGAAGGACACAAGGAGTGTAGCTAGGGGAGAAATAATTCTTCTTTCTCCCCCCCCCTCCTTTCCCCGCCTCATCCCCCCGACTTTTTTCAAAATTCAGCATTGCGGTTACGCATACATTAAGATTCGCTCACTGAGGAGGAAAATCCTGCATTGCGGGTTACGAATTGAATGTTTTAACCCTTTTAAGTCCCAATGGTGACCAACGTCAATTTTCTCCGAACAATACCCACATGTTGACAAGGCAAATGGTTATGAGAGTTAATAAAATGATCACTAAAGATTAACTGCTTTGATCTGTTAAAAAACTCTCAACTAATTAGGAAATGTATGATGATCAGTATGGAGAATTTATATGCCGATATTGGGGCTTAATTAGGGCTATTGACGAGGATATTGCTGTTTTCGGTCAACTCTGTGCTTAGGTTATTACTTGCATCCTTTACCCCGACAGAAAATGCTCCTGTGAGTTAAGAACAAGATATCAATCAAATTTCATCAGGTCGCACTAACCGGAATAGTTTTTCTTAGTGATTTTTGCAGGCGTAGCATTAAAACTTCAAAACTTCAATAAATGTTCATCCTTACCATCCGTAACAGACGACAGGAAACAATTTTTTTAATATAACTATTGTAAATATAGTTTAAATAACAAAACGGAGCCATTTTTTATTGATACGAAAAAAAGTTTGTCGCCTTTTCTTGTTTTACTGAGCTCAGAATGTATCCAATCCTGACTCGGTGCTATCTACAATAATGTCCTTTTACGGATTTTTACATATTTTGTACGTTCTTACATGTGGTTTTTATTTTGTAAATCGTCTTGTTTTGAATTCGTCAGTACAAAATCCTCATTTTTATCAGTTTTCTCCATATAACTCTATACCTTTAAAGCTGAAACGGAAAGACTGCTCAAGTGGCTTTTATACTACAAAAGTTTGGATGTCGAGAGATCATATCTCTTGGCATGTAGATTTACAATCTTGCACGGCACGTTCAAGTCTGCTTTGGCGCGAAGAAGCACTATGAAGTCGGCTGAAAACAGTCTTTTTGTGAGCCCGCGGGAAAGAGCATACCTACCAAACCCATATACTTTCGGTTCTCGTTTCTAAATTGCGCCTTTGAGATCGTGCTTCAATCTGTCGGGGTGTTTCAACATGAGGAACATAGAGAGGAAGACGAAGACGGCCGGTTGATAAGGGCCCATTGGAAAGATGATCCTCCTTCATTTAATAAAAATTAGGGACCTTACGAAACTGCGACGGCGACGGCAACCGTGGAACGTCAAAAAAGCAATAGATTTAATCAGTAAAAAAACAACTTTGCACGCGCACCACGCTTTTCTTTAAATTTCTTTACCCTCCCTGCACAACTACAACCCGACCTGAAATGACCAAATTTTAAGTTTATTTGAGAATGGGAACGGAAAGGCGATAAATTCTACCATTTCTGGCTGAACTCGGGCGCGGTCCCTTCTCTTCCGTTCCAACCTAGTTTCCCTTCTTTTGAACTGGGCGACTTGGGACACTATGGCGAAAAAAAGTGAGAGGATGTGAAGTCTATTTTTCAGCGACGTTTTCATGGACGTCGCGCGTGGTGCCTATTACGATTTGTTCTTTCGGTCGATCGGTCATTGATGTTTATAGGCTCTCGCAGCAGTATAACACTTTTTCTAGGCGAATAAGAGTTGCATGCCAATCAAGTGAGTACAGTGTTATGTAATGGACCATGCTTTCCGACTGCTATAGTCGTTGTAACCTGCTGAGATCAGGCCTCGCCTCTCAAAAAGAAAGGGAAGAAGGAGTCTGATCGCAGCAAAAGGTAAAGCAAAAGTCAAATCATCAACAACGTCATTTATGCAAGGTAATACGTACCTTTAAATCTGGCAATAGCAACAAAAAGGTCCTTCTTTTTGTACAGAAATAAGATCTTTGCCTGAAGAGGAGTTCTCAAGATGAAGACAGCGGAGAAGGTGGTTTGTGCGTGTTGACAACTGATGCTGGGAAATGGCTGCGATTCTAAACTAGTAATTACGTAATAACACGAACACTTTTGTGATTACTGGGCTTAGGAATCAATATTTCAAGATTAGCTTTGTTTTCTCTGAGTACCTCTCTACATAAGTACGTTCTTTGCTGAAAAATGAAGGTCGTTACTTTGAGGGTGTGTTCTTTTTTAACATAAGAATAGGTCATAAATGTTGTTTACAAGTTAAATTTTTCTTTATCGGTATACTAAAAATTTAAAGGAATAAAGAGAAAGACTGAGTGACAGCAGCTGTTATGCTAATACATTTTGCAGAAATCATTCTTAAAGACAGGCCTTGTTTGATAGAGTGTCGTAAGTCGAAAATCAACTTAACCATGGCAACCAGGAAGCCCATTCAGTCATTTTATCACAGAATAGAGTCATCCAATCCAATCGCTAAAATAAGATATGGTGGCAAACGCCTGTGCTGTCGGCTTCCAATGCACGAGAACGCGGCGTGCCATTCAGCCACGATTGGATTAAAGTTGCTTAAGGGACGGGATCAGACCGTGCAGCCGACCAAAAAGTGCAACAGTGCAAGACTAAGTTAATCACGATACTAATTTCCACACTCAATTGAAAATACACTGCATGAGGTCGTTGCCAGCTTGCGGTTTCTACAGTGGCTAAATCTCACAAACAACATACTTGAGCCACTTAAGAATTCGAAGAAACCGCCTTGAATTTTCTTTCTCCTAGGGCATTTTTTGCTCAATTTAGCGTGCAGTAGTACGTTTCCGCTACCCCCCACCGTCATATTATCATTTTATGTTAAATCTCAGTTAGTTGCCTGCCAAGGCTATCTATATTTAGACGAAATTAGATTTAAATAACAAAAACCTAGCCGATAATTTCGTTATGGTATCACGGCCGATTAAATTTGTCTATTAAAAAGCGCCTCAAAAAAAAAAATGAAAAGTTTAACCCACTGGTTGCAAAATAAATTCAATTAAAAAGGGCAGTGTCTCTAAGATTTAATACCACTAATCAAACAATCGAATCTGTGCAGAAATCCAAAACTGTTCGTGATTTTTTCTTTCATAAAAGTTACTATACTCGGAAAAACGTCTCGGCCCCAAAACCCATTATGTTTGCTTACAGTAGAAATTCGTTTCAAAAGAATAGTTGTTCCATAATGCTGAATCTTTTTCGATTTAATGGACAAAACTTTCTGGGATAAAATTATTACTAGATCTGGGGAATGTTCTCAACCAGGGTTCTCAATAATAGCACTGTAAAATGATTATGAAATCCGTAGACTTTCTCCCGTTGTCCTAGGAATTGATTCGTGTTATCGCCAGTTTCTTGTGCTGTTCTCGCAAAACTTGCAGAGCTATTCGGTAATGTTAGGTAATAGGTAATGATAGGTAATTCGGTAATAATAAGTGACCTTTTTAGGGTAAAAATCTGTTGAAAATGGGGAATTATACCATTTTTTAGATGTTCGAAAATCTTAGGAGATACAGGCAAGCAAGAAATTTACCAACAAATCTTCCGAAAATTCTAGATCTCAAATCGTCTTCCGAACAGATATTTTCCGAAAATTGACGTTGGGTGCCCCTGAGTTTGACACGTTACAGTCGAAGCTTGCTTTACGGACTCTCTCTTAATACGGACAATTTTCTTTGTTTTTGGAGAAAGAAAGCCTGGCATATTTTCTCTTAATTCAACCCGCTTAATACGGACACTTAGTATGGCCCCCTTAGTGTCCGTATTAACAGCGTTTGACAGTACTATCTGTTTGGGCGTTTGGCCTTCAGTCCAATTCCCCTGCTCAGTTTTCGGCAAAGAAGACGCGATAATTTCCTAGAGAATCTCCGTTGAATTGGGTTGGGATCAATTCTCCATATTCAGTGCATCGCACAGAAATCCCCGTTCAAAATTACTCGACACTGCTGCATTTGACCTCGGAGGCAACTCAGTCCCATATTGAGTAAATTGCTATGCCGTCTTCAGTTTAACACCAGGAACGTTAGGTTAAGTGATAAAATTAAAGGGAAGACATGACGTACCATTTATCTAATTTTCTCCTTAAGAATTGAAACCTCTTCAAATTCAGGCCGAGGTGGAAAAAATTTGATATAGACTAGGACAAAAGAGATAAATTGATACAGCTTTGAAATGATATAAACGAACGGCGAAAGTTGACGTATTCGGACGTTGTTATCGTGGTGTCTTCAAACTCCCTTCGCACTGCACCACGCCCGTGGCTATGTGGTCTTAAATATATTGAACGGTCACACTTCGCCGAGAATAAAACCAAGCCATAGCAATTAACACATTACATTCGTACACGATGTGAAAATTTAGGCGCGGATCTAGAATAAATACTGACCGATTTCCTATTCTAGGGAGGTCTGGGGGAATGCTCCCCCGGGTAATGTTTTGGATTTTAACCCCCCAAAGTCCCCTTTCCTGGGTTTCTGAGTCTTTCAGACAGGATATTTACTGACTCTCCAAACCATTTTCCAGATTTCAACTTGGAAGGTTTAAAGTTTTTACCAAAAATATATCTATTATGAAATATCTGACCGATTTCCGTAAAACGTGGAAACCGGTATGGATCCGCGCCCGAAATTCTATCTAAACCTCCGGAAACCTCTTGGGTGGCATGAAACTATTGAATGAAAGTTTTATTCGTGAATTTTCCATTCCTGGCCCTTTAGCTGTAAAAGTAGATGCCTCTACTTTTTAAGGCGAATACGTTAATTACATTAAAAAGTTTTCTTCTCAAATTTTTATTTTCCGAGTTCACTGAAAAGCCTCTATTTCATTTCTTATTCATTCAACCGTTAACATGATTTGGCAATTAAATACTCTTTTAAAACCCTTGTTCCCTGGCAAGATAGTTCTGGCATATTGCGAACACCCAGGTAGAAATGTTCGTTCACAAAAATCTACAGGATTCATCTTGAGCGGATCTCAAGACGTTGCTTTCGCAACATGAAATGAAACGTCCATTCACTAACTTCTCGTACGAGGTTCTTATTAGTGACCACTGTGTTGCTCGGTTTGTTGCCCACGGAGCTCGGGTCTATTTCATTTATGTTTATCAGTTTCCCCAAAGAAAAGTAAAAAATACAAACAAATATAAATAAACATTTAACATAACTAAATCTAGAAATTGTCGGTTTTGAAGAATATTTCTATATAATATAAATAATGTCTCAACAGCTGAATCTTCGTTCTATCAGATATAAAAAGTCTAAGAAGTGTAAAATACAAGAAAATCACCTACAGTACATGTTCAACAAAGGATCGAATAATATGACGAACGAACACGCGGAGGTCTCTAGGTTTTAAGTAAGAAGCGAATCCTAAATGAAAGCTACTAACTCGACCTGCACCAAACGATACTTTTCAGGCTGTCTGGGAAGTCAGCTTTTTAACTCTTTTGTCAATCTATAAAATCCTTATAACAAGTGAATTCAATTAAAGCTAGTGAACAGTACAGTACTTTGGAGTATTTTTGGAAAAGAAATTCGGAAACGAGATAGAATATCTTCTTCCCGGATCAAACGAGGTCGAACCAACATCATGTTCAAACCGTTTTTATAATAGTTGTCCTGTAAGCTTACTTGCAAAAGCCTTTCAGTTTTAAAATAAGGAGAAAAAAAATAGAATCGTTTCCCTACCTTCTAACACTCGAGAGGCTTAAGGCCAAGTTACGTCGCCGTGCACAAGATATATTTGCTTGAAAGCAGTGGTGGTACGACCTTCACAACTCTTCGTGACTGTAATGACTCGGTTTTGTGAACTTTGGGCAGTTTTATTATATTGTCTTTGTCCAATCAAAATAATTTAGCCTCGAGCCAAGTGTGTTAACATGTAATTTGGCTTAATCATGTCAGAGAAGAAATCTTAACCTCGCCCACATGTACAAAAATTTGCCTTTGCGTAATTTAAGCACCCAGCGCAGAATATTGTGTAACAAACTTTTTTATTTCTGCAAACAAATCATACCACGAGTTATATTGCCTTGCTTTGCACCAATATCGGGCTACACGAAATATTAACTTAGTTTTTATATTTGCAAGAACGAAAAAAAATCTATATCTACAGTTTTCCACAATATTCTTCTGCCCTTGGACAAAACTTCCTCATGATGTCATTCAAAAGATTCTTTTCGGCAGTACCTTCCTTCAAAAAAATTTTAAAATTTGTCAATTTCTATGAAAACACTTAAAAGGTTAGGGCTTATAAGAATTTTGATACCGAGTAACACTTGGCTTATAATTCCAAACTGAAAAGCTAAATTACTTAGTCGTAATACTTAGTCGTAATTCTTAGTCGTATATTTATAGTATCAAGTGCTACACAATCACCTTAATACAAGAGTTCTTTTCCAAATCAATTTGAACTTAACAACGAATTCAGTTACAGATTAAACGTTATGTTATACTGACTTCCGGGTTATTTCTGTCGTGACCTTTTAGATTTCCTATTGCGATGAACAGGGAAGACCTATTGAAACTTTTGGCTCGCGATCGCAACACAGCTGGCTATTCTTGGTTGGGCCAATACTGATTTGAGTAAGCATTGTTGGGCGTCATTACAAGTTCGTTTTATCTATGTCGGAAATTTCTCGATAATTACATTTTCACGAACTCTGCGTTTTCGGGCGCACAGTTAATCACGGTGAATTAAAAGAAAAAAAAAGAGTCTACTAAAAATACTAACATACGAGAATCTCACAACTCGCATTATAAAAATAATGAATATTTATGTATCGAGTGATATTTCTAAATAAAAATAGCCCGACGTGGTATGATATTATCAGTGTTATTCGGCATACAATTCAACGAAGCCAAACATCATAGTTTGTGGGTGTTCAAGAAGAGGCTTATATCAACATTATCACTGGTCATTAAACGATATTCAATGATGTTGTATACAGGAAACAAATAGCTTAGATACAATAGCGCAGCTTACCGCATGGCGCCCTGTCTATATACAGCTATTTCGAGAAAGGTTGTCGGAAAAATGTGCATGCGACAATCCCGAAAGGTAATATGCGATATGATCGATACACTGTTTCTGACGACTTTAGCTGTCGAACCTACTTTTGTTGCTTTCCTTTAACACTCAAAAACACATTTTCATGGCCTTTCGTGCCAATTCTTTCAAATTTCTTTGAAGAACAGTGAACTCAAAACCACCCACAATGCCTTTCGGGATTGTCGTGTGCACTTTTTCCGACAACCTTTCTCGAAATAGCTGTATGTCTTAGTTTTCCATGCGGGTGAGAGTACAAACTCGACAAATTTTTCAAAAATTTGGAAAATATTGAATCTGTGCTAAGGGCACCCCGCAAAAATGTGTTGCACAATGGCTTTCACTTGAATGGTCATACTTAAAGTTTTTGTCCATGTATCAAACAAAAAGCAAGTAGAAACAGAGGCAATCTTATGCAATCTAACCAATATCACAAACTAAGGTGTATTTGGCAGACCCCTAACTTAATTTCAAAAACCCCAATTTGCGATTTCAATCTGCTCAAAAGCCAGAGATGTGGTCTTGTTCAACAGGATGAATAGAACCACAGGAACTA